CAACGCCTCGTTGGCGAGTGGTCGCAAGTGCAACTGCCGGGCAAGGGATCTCGGTTTCGATTCAGGGCAAAGTATAAAGGGTTTTTAAAAAAATCTCAGTAATAGCATGGAGTACAAGAAATATTATTTATATTATATTTCAATAAACTTTAATATGATCATTGTATGATCTGTGAACTCAAAACCGGTAACGGGTGGTTGTAATAAAAGGTATGATAGGTATTATGTCTAACAAAATCTTACCCAGACTTCTGTCTTTGTTCTAGTTGACTCTTCCAAGTTTCAAATATATCTTCATCATTTTCATCATATTTGTGACATTCACATTTTTCTTCTGAACCTTGGTTGCTATTTGACCTTGACTGATAAACTGCAGCTGTTACAGGTTTGGGGAATAATGCTGGAGCAAGTTGTCTTGGAGGTGCCATGTTCATTTGTAGAGTATGTGTGATGTCATAGCTGTAGCTGTAATAGAAGTTGGTTGACAGGTCTATGGCTAGGAACATCTTCAAGTACCTCTGTTCATCTGGGTGCGGAGGCTTACTACTTTCATTGGGAATGTATATTGTTGCAGTGTCTTCTATTTTGTAAATAGTATGTGAACCGATAACTGCCACTTTTCTTCTCTTAGTAACTAGTATTATGTAGTAGCCTTCTAAGAATCTTATGAAACCTGTAAATAGTAAAATAGGAATTATACATTTGAGGTTGTATAAGTGACAGACTAATTTTAATTCAAGAGCGTAATATTGTCCTTTAACTTGTCGAGTACCGTCATTATAGATACAATAATAGAACAATAGGTTGCGGTCACCGGTGACCGCTTGGTGTTTGACAGTTTAATGATATTTTAATTGGAATTAAGGCTATTTAATAAATCTCTCACTATAATTTTATGAATTTAACTTCAGTATAGATATGTACTTACCGACAATCCCAAATGCTGACACCAATTTGTTGAGTCCTGTTCTGCCCATTCTGTTACCAAATCCTATCATGTTGAGGAGCTGATGTATCTCCTGTTTATTGTATTCAAACTTGTCGTCGACCAATATCAGTTCCCGAGGGTCTGTCCTGTCGATTTTGAGGACACGAAATCTTGTTTCTGTGTTATTTGAACCAATCAGATAGAATCTCTGCAATAAATTCAAAAAACTTCATTTGTGGTATAAGTGGTTTGTACACTCCTGGCCTTAATAATTTATTATAAAATGTATAAAGGAGGGGTGTAGACACTCCCTAAAATGAATACTGGCCAACATATTGGTAGTCTAGGAAGATAGCTGATAAGAAAAATGTAAAGACTTGTCTTATAATCCGTATTTCACAAATAAATATTGTGATTCTTACCGCTTTAGTTTCATAAAGTGCAATTCGTTGAATGGAGCTGATTATCGGATGAAACATAATATTTTGCTTTGACATTTTCGAAACAATTTATGCAATTCAGAGCACTATAGAACGAACTAACACCACAGTTCAGTGTGCAAGGTACACTTATTTATTTCAATTCTATATTAGGTACTGATAATTTTAATTAAATATTAAAAATAAACAATTACTACAATAACACTGAGTTCCTGACACTTCCATAACAGCTGCCCAGCTGGTCGAAAATGTCAAATTGAAAATGACATGACACTGTCATCTGAAGTGTCCCTTTTGTGACATCATACTAGTGCTGTGCAACCTATAAAACCTACCTAAGCGATGATGTGGCCGACATGTACTTACGTGATGGAATTATCTAAATACGGTTTTTATTTGTTATGGGATCCTATTTTTATAAATTGAATCGACGTTACGATTATTGTTCTGAATTCGAATAATCAAATCGGAAGATTACAAGGTCTCTCAATCAAATCCAATACTCAAATTAGTGATGTGCTGGATCGTCAAAAATGTATATCCGCGGACACGGATCCGGATACGGATAATTAGTGTCAAAATCCACGGATACGGATACGGATCTTTATTTCTTAGTCAATCGTTGTGTGCTTTATTTATTTTTGGAAAGAAGAGTCTGCTAAGAAAACTACCGATGAAATATCACAGCAGGGAACATCTTTGCAAACAGTGAAAAGAGAATTTAAACAAACTCTTTTCAAAGATTAGGTATATGGAAAAAGCTAGAATGTGGGACAATACGTACCCCTTTATAAAAATTTACTATTTGATTGCTGAAATGTTATCTTCATCAGATTTGTCATTTCAACTCGTAGAACAATTAGGATTTCGATGATTGATGGATATTATTCTAAATTATTATATATTGTTCTAAATTATCTTTTAAAAGGCAGTAAGTATTTTACGGAACTTGTTTGTAACAAACTTTACTATAAAATGGCGTCAGAAATAAAACACGTGTTATAAGATTTTGAGAAAATTTCCTTTGCGTTAGATGTCTAGTTGGCTGTTGGAGTCATCATCAGGAGTTTTATAGTTATCGTTAACATGTCACGGTATTACCAAAGACTTTCAACGAAAAAATATCGTTCTGAAAACGCAAGTTCTTGAAGAACGTCATACGGGGGATTATATTTCAGAAAATTTTCAGTGTATGTTGGAGGAATGGAGACTTGAAAAACAAAATATACGTTGTATGGTACGAGATGGCGGATTCAATATGAAGCGCGCTTGTTCTTTATCAATACATAGTATAAAACAAAGTCGCTTTCGCTGTATGTCCGTATGTATGCTTAGATCTTTAAAACTACGCAACGGATTTTGAGACGGATTTTTTTAATAGATAGAGTGATTCTTAAGGAAGGTTTGTATGTATAATACATGCATATTGCACCCGTGCGAAGCCGGGGCGGGTCGCTAGTTAGAAATAAATAATATTGCCTGTACAGCGCATCAGTTATTAATTATTATGCAGCATTTTATCCTGTCAATTTAATATAATAGATCCGTAAAAGATCCGCGAGTAAAGTGACGGATACGAATACGGAAACGGACCTTATTTCTCCCGCGGATATTCGCGGGTACGGACACGGGTACGGATCTCCGGAACATCACTAATTTAAATACTCCATTTCTTAAACCCCTAACCCTCAAAAGGTTGGCAAAGTACTTATTACTCCTCTAGGGTCACAAGTGTCCATGGACGACGTCGACTTACTATCAAGTGATCCGTTTGCTACTTTTTTATTGCAATAGGAGGCAATAGAACATACCTGTTGGTAAGCCAGCGCGGTATATACACATATTTTTTTACCGCCGTATCTTATAAAAGTCTTCATTGCACGACTTGTCACGAGTTCGATTCCCGCTCGTCACAACTGTTTGTCACATACAAATTTTCATCAGCTATATTTTTATTTGTCACGATCACGTAAGCACTTTTGAATTTTCTGCGTTCACTGTGAATTTCGTAACTAAACATTCTAAACTTTTATTTACTGCTTGACTTGACGGTTGGTGCGGTGGCTGGGCAACTGGCTGCCGCGCAACGCACAGTTTGTTGTTCCGAGTCTGGGTGTTATGTGTAATATGTATGTGATATTGTATGTTTATAAACGCACTCACGACACAGGAGAAAATCCTAGAGTGGGGCAACGTTTTTTTAAAATAAAATTATTAGATTTTTTTTCCATTCAACTGCTTATTTTCCTCGGTTACATAATTACCGCACGTTGTATATTGTAGTCAAGTACTACATCCTGAAATGTAAATAGGTCCTAATAACATTATTATTTAAATCCCATCCCATCATCAGGATAAAATATTGACTTCCTGGTAACATGTATAAGGTTCAAAATAAAATTGTCAATAAAAAACCAGAGAAGAGAAAGATGTAGAATGCAGTTACGAGAATGCTACGCTACGGCTACGTGGCTACGAAGTGATCGCTACGAAATATTTTTTCTTAAATAATGAATATTTTAAACTTCGTGTATTTCTAAAATAATATTTTTAATGTTTTTTGTACATTCATTGAGGTATCTATAAATGTATTGTCACTAAAATGTATAATCAAAATGTATCTGTAAGTTACCCTTTACATTGCATTGTTTAATTATTAATAATACACAAAAAAATATTAAAGGAGTACAATATAATTATTCTACAAATAACTACTTATAAATAACAGGAATAAATAAAGGATTGAAACAAACCAATTTAATAATATTATAATTCAATAAGTATCGATCGCGTTGATGTCTTTTCTTCGTACGTAGTAATTTTACTTATCGATTATGGAGTGTGTAAGTGTGTAATGCACTTGTGTTGTTATTTTTCTCAATCTTTGTTATGTTTTATAATTTTACTAGACTTAAGAAAATATATTGTAGTTTTCAGTTTCAGCATGTAAAAGGCAGATAAGGATAAGACTAACTTAAGAATTAAAAAAAAACATTTTCTTTCGGATTGCCCAGAAACATTCCATTATGAAATTCATTCTTGTCAAACCCATTGGTCTTGCTACTGCATTAGCATGTTGAGAATTTAATAACTGAAAAATTTTAAAGCTTAATGGTCTTAAGATTTTAATAGCTCGAGCCATTCTTGTCTTAAAATCTGGCTTTTAAGAAGGAAGGAACGCGGACGAAGACTTTTGTTGTCACAGATATTTCCAGTCTTCCTAGGAAATTCACAATACATTTTTGTAGAGGTTTTCCGTAAAATAAGGTTTTAACCTATTTTCTGTCTTTTGTAGAAAGGTTTTATATTCTTTTTTCAGCGGAACTCAGCTAAGTTAGACAGTAAGTAGGTAAAGAGGTCTGCTGTATTTGTAATCTTTCCGCATTAATTAGCATCGCTAATTAAGATAAAAAGGAAGATTCCACCGAAATGAACAGCGCGGGAAGATTTCAGATAGTAATTCGAGCAAACCTTGAGCTGTACGAACTAACGCGCTATGTGTTATATGTATGTATATGTAATAAAAAATGTACACAACTTTTTCTCAGCTCAAAATAACTGAATAAACGCTATGTATATGAAACAGGACACACATTTTATACATATATATTTACGAAAAATACAAAGAACCGCCTTATTGTTTGGCTCATCAAAGATCGAATCAGTGCATTATGTTGTCGCAAGTAGACATAACATAACATACATAATAATATGTAACGAGACGTATTGTTACGTCAAAGTGCCACTCCCAGCTCACTGAAATATTTGTGTGAATTTGGAAGTGGGTCAAGCTGTCGTTATTCACGTCGCTATCCACTGAATTACAGCAAGCGGCGGCTGCGACCATTCCGTTTTGTATTCCGAGGGTTTTTAGATAACCTGCCGGTCTGCATTGAACATTCATTGTGTGAGTCCATGTGTGTAAATGAGGCTCCGGGCCTGGAGCGGCTGAGCGGGCTGAGCAGGCGTGGTGCGGCGCGCGTGCGCGCGGGGGCGCTGATGTCGCGCGCGCCAGTCCCGTGCGCGTCCCCGTCGCCGCAGCACCTGTGCGCGCGCTCGCCGCCTACCGCCTGCCGCCTCGCCTCACACACGACACACACTCTATGAAATAACAATGAATTCCCACACTGTCCCCCTCGCAGCTGTGTTACTATAATAGTTTATGTGATCGCCACCGGCCCAGTGCTCTCCCGGCCGCTCGACCGGTCCAGATCGGGAAGCTGCGCCGGCCTCACGCCCGACTACAGTGGAATGCGGCAATTTTAACTACTGCGGACCCCGGAGACCCATATAAGAATAGGGATCGAACGATTACAATCCCAGCAGTAAGGTAAGTCGTCTGTCTCTATTTATATTCGGCCATATCCTACAAGAAGTACCGCAGCGGCCGTTAACTTAATTTGATAAAGTAAAGTGGAGTGCTGAAGTAAATAAAACATCAAGATCGTTCTATTACATGTTATATCTATAACATGTAGCGCCTGTGGGTACTCCAGTAGGTACAGTTACTTACCAAAGATTAAATGGCCTTGCACTTGGAGCTTTCTTGACGGAATCAAGTAAGTAAAGCCTATTTTTGTAACATAACTTTGAATGAAACCATAATGGATACATGTTTTTAGATTTAGCTATTTCTATATTTAGCTTGTGAGTTTGAACTTTTATAAATAAAATCCCATTTAATAAAAATCAATAAAATTAAAAATAGTATATCTTATTTTCTTAAATACATTGGGTAAAAATTTACAAGTTTATTAAATACAAAAAATGATAGAAATTTTTTAAATGAAATGAAGCTATTAGAACTACATGATAAATCGTTTTGAGTGAATAATTAAGAGGAACACTTTTTCATACTCCGTTCTTGATGCAGTAAAAGCCTATAGAAATCTAATACGAAATCTTTGACAGCGTTGTGTTGCGTGTTAAGCAAGCAGTCCACAAGAATAAGAAACGTTTTAGGCAACGCCCTATATTTTATTATTCTTACTAAACACCTTACTATTGGCTCCCTCGATCTCTTCTAATCAATAATCTAAGCTAAGTGCTTTGACTAACACCTACTTACAATGTGACATACCTATGTACAAACTTACCCGACCACCGTTCAAATATAGGACGATCAAAATAATTGATTAAAAATAAATTATTTTTTGGCATTCGTTTATTTAAATAATAAATGCAGATACAGAATATTCCATAGATAAAACACTTAATCGGTGTTTAATATTATC